TATCTTGTATAGGGTGTAAAGTCAATGTCAGCCGTTTAAAACAGAAGTAGTCAAGGTGTTCGTACCTCATAACAGACGCTTGCCCAGGCAAACACATCACTTGCTTTGCTGTTCCGAATCTTCTTGGTTTTGTCTTCAGAGACTAGCAGTTCAGGTGCTTGCCATCGAGTGGTTCCTCCTGTGGAAGCCACTGTTGACTGTGAGGTCCACCTAAGAATTTGGGGATCAGTCACGCTGGATATCCCGAAATCACCCAGAGATGCTCTGCCGGAACCATCAATCAGAACATTGAGCTTGAAAAGATGAATATGGTCAGGGATACGAACTGACGTTTCGACAAGATTCAAGTACTTACTCCTTTCAAGTCCCCGTGGACAATATCATTTCTGTGCAGGTACTCTACCCCAGCTGCTGTGTCTGAACACTATATAGGAACTTGGTTCCTACTCATACCAGAAAATACACAAATACATACCAGTAGTATCCGGTTTGCCTCTGGATGCTCAGTTAAATAATCTTCGAGGTTACCGTTTGAAGCCCAACACGAAACAAAAGCTATTCTCGAACGATATTTGAGGAGTCCATAGAAGGGGAGTATATTTGGGTGTGATAATTGCCCCCAAAGAATAGCCTCTCTTGCATACACCTAAAGTACAGATCAAATTATTAGGTTATTGGATTGGCATTTTCATGGTGACGAACTTTGGCCAAGTGTTCAACCTTTGTTTTCTGGTATACCCTGATCACCTTATAACACAATTCTTGGCCTCCAGATACCATTTTATAGATATCAGCAAAACGTCCATAAGCGACTGGTTCAGCTTCAACAGATGGCGAGGGACCTTGAAGGAAAAAAACGGGATGGGTATCGCTGTGTTCGCCCCGAGAGCCTCCTCATTGCAGCAATCAACTGTCCACGATCTGGAAAAATTTCAGTATCCAGGAGCTTTTCGAAAAAAAAGTTCAATATATAAACATGATGGTAAATAAATTAGCTTACAAGCTGAAACCCATCAAGAATTTTCTGAGCATCCGCTGCACCACATGATAGAAGACACCTGTAAAGCTCAACTGTCTTGAATATGGTGCAAAGTATGGATGTCACATTCTTTTGTTTGTTGCTTATGAGGGCTATTTGCCCCGAGAAATCAGCCATCCCACCAACGTCTTCCCTACTCTCCACAATAGCAGCGAGACTCGTCGAGGTATCAAACCCATTCTCGTGTTTGAGCTGAATGGGTCTCCCTGGGCGCTTTTTCCCAGCGGTGATGAGGTCACCACTGCGAGGCTTAATCTGGGATTTGCTACGCGGATGGATGGGCTTGGGGTAGAGGTAAGAGGAAGAAAGCTAGTGAAACACAGAAGGCACCAGAGTGGCGGCGGACGAGACCGCTGAGTGAGATTGGGATGAAGACCCAGAGCGTATCTTGGCGGTGGAGGCGACACTGAGGACCTCACTGGCTTCAGTGATGGGAGATGCAGGAAGGAGTTGCAGGAGGCCGTCGTTATCAGCATAATCTTCTGGGGTGCCGATAATGGTGCCAGGATCCAACAAGTTGAGCGAGGCATTAAATGACTCGACGATGTCCATCCGCAGGTACGGGGAGGCTTCGTCGTTGACATCATAACCGGATTCATCGTTGGCCCTCGTCGGGAGACCCATATAGATTGAATCTAGGGCCATGGGAGTCGAAGGAGCCATATAAATGACTGGGTCCGCAGCAGCGGGGGCTGTGTATTTACGTTGGTATCAGTCTTCGTTTAAATGAAGACTGTTCATCATGATTTGCTCAAGTTCAAGGAACAAATCACAGCAATCGCTGTGCAGCTACAGCACGGTTATTGCGAGACATTCTTTCCATCACTCTGGGCGTAGGAGCACACCAGATGGTGACATTGTGATGCATCATTTGTGTTAATTCGTAAAAGACAACCATGCACGGCTCTTTCGTATGACGTCAGTCAGTCAGAGTTGTTCCGAACCACGAGACTCAAACCCTAACCACAATCCAGGTGCATCCTTTCCCAACATGTCGTTGTGCGGAAACCCGATAACGCCCATCTCGTCGCTGCCCACCTTCGTTTCGCCCGAAGAACACGCCAACCTCATCTCCTCTACGCCGTCCTCGTTCGCAGACATCCCTCCCACCCTCAAACACACCCAACCCAACGTTCGCGTCACCCTCGATCCTCCCGTCCCAGGCTTTGACGCCACCGATGGTACTTTATACGTTCTCACAAGGTCTGTTTTTCCTTTCTTCTTCTTTTATCCAACTTAGGTGAAGAAACAGTGTCCTTGTATACTTTACCGCATCAGGACAAGGCTTCCAAATCCCCTACCCATCCATAACACTCCATGCCATCTCTCGCTCCGGTACCTCTCCATCAATCTACTGTCAGCTCGACGCAGGTCCCGCACCCGATGTAGACGTCGAAGACGAGGACGCAGACACGCTTCTCCAAGAGCTCTCCATAATCCCTCAAGATCCCACTTCCCGTACGTCTCCAGATTTTCTCTCTAAATCTTCACTTCATCTTACGTAAACGAACAGTTGAACAAATTTTCGAAGCCCTTTCGACCTGCGCTGCCCTCAATCCGGACCCAAATGTCGATCTCGATGACGACGACGACGCAACAATCGATCCTCTCTCCACGCCCTTCGAGACTTTCAACGGCTCAGCAGACGAAGAGTTAAGCGAAGTAGGCCGGGTGCGCAGTGATTTCTCGAATGATTCTCGGTATCATCCCTACTAGACGCTTGTTTTTTGTTTCTTTTTTTATTTCCATGTTCTGTTCTCAATGTCTTCGGTGTTTCTGCGGTTGTCTATGATCTCGATCGTGATTTGTCGAACTCGTGCACGTCGACGCGTAGGCTGCACTCGCGCATATAGAATCAATCATCTACGATCCGTTCGATCATGACGATGAGGATGTATATGAGGAGGGGGAGGGGGAGGAGTTGCCGCCCGACTCCGAGGACGATGAGAAGAAAGATGCTTTGGAAGACGCTGATGAAGAAAACGGATTGAAGGCAGAGAGAGGGGAGGAGGAGGAGACGACAGCAGCTACTGAAAACAAAACAACCGCCAAGGCTGCGTAATCCAAAAAATGTACATTGCATATCGATGCTTTCTGATATATTGATATCCTGAACATCACATCCGTCACATAAGTATCTTTCTTATCCAATTCAACTCATTCCAGGAATCAATCCCACCCATTTCAAGATCTCTTGAGATTCATTCCCACAATATCTACTCGACATTCGGCATGTTTCATTGCTATTCAGTGGGACCCGCAGATCGAACGCCGTACCTCACATCATATCTAGTCCATGTATCTCGAACACCTTTGGACAGATATGTCACCCTTTCCTTCCTTTCTCCACGTACCTACTATTATCAGCGACAGCGCAGTTCTCTCGACGCCCGCACTGATAAGTAGTGTACCCTACTGTATATTCCAATGCCCATCCACGCAAAAATTCCACCCATCCGATGCATATGCCAATGCGCACTCACCTTTAGAAGCATTCTCGAACCGCGAGGGTTATGAAGGGTGCATATGCTTCTCACGCACATGCAATTCATAACAGCCTAATCTTAACCAAGTGTCTTTTGACTTCTATGGGTACTATGCCTTACAAGTTGCAACATGACGCAGAACTCATTGACTTCTGCCTCCTCTCCCGACTCAGTCCAATTACCGCTCAAAAAAGTCTCAGGAATTCCCTTCGTAGTGGAAGTACCGCGGATCGAACGCCGTACCTCCCATACTCCATCTCCCATCTCTCATTCGCTGGAACACCTTCAAAGTGATCTATGATGCGCTTCCTTCCTCTCTTCGCGAACGTACCTATAACTGCCAGTGCCATCGCAGTTCCTCAACAGCTTGATAGGCCAATTTCCAACCGTTATAAGTCCTCTATGCCTATGCCTTGGCTTCTCAATCCAAATGTGAACCTTATTTTTCCTAAGTGGCTATTAACTACTACACACTCTATCTACATACTCGCACCGAACAACGCAAATGCAAAATTATCTCACACTAGTATCAGGATATACTGATATCAAATACCGCAGTCCATCCATATCAGAAACCCCCGCTTTCGGTAAACCGAGGTCAATCAGCTCTTTCCATCCAGGACCTGTTCTCGAACTATCAGCAATATCATCCATCCCCTCCCTCAGTCTCTAAAGCTACGTAGGCTCCTCGTATTCTATCACAGCTCCCCAGAGGGAAATACCACAGATACAAAACACAATTGTCATAGTAAAATATTCTAAATCAGAAGGGAAGTATCGAGGCGCATCGCGAGTCGAACGCGGTACCTCCGAATTCCAAGGCCAGACTCCACGGTCATAGCAGAGAGTACCTGGTCTGTATAGGCCTGAGCTGCCATACCGTTCCCTCTTTCCTTTTACCTATATGGGCTTGAAGCTTGATCTTCTTTCTGCGATTCCACATAGGGAGTGAAACAACGAACGGTGTGTGAGCTGAGCTCAATCGAGTCCATTCTGCGGCTCCGGACATAATCGCGTTAGAATTGGCCGAATTAGCGATGATACCGAGTGAGGGTCGGTTGATCTCCCTAGGCTTCTTTCGCAGGAAGAACTCTGTGAATTGAACATTACAGGCAACCAATACAGCGTTCGGATAAGTCTTGAGTCCAAAAAGACTATTCAAGCAAGCGCACGGATCGAGCACTTGTAACTTGGCGTCCAGGCTAGAAAGCCGATCTAGTCTGCTTATTCTTTATGTAGGCATTTGTCGTCCTCATATTCCCTGTCACTGTATGCACCTGATTGAGATCAACCTATCGGCCAGCGAAGAGATTTGCCCACTGGGCAACATGAACAAAACCTCGGTGAGCAGTAGTCTAGTTCAGGATATCGTGACCACTCCATCAAGGCCTGATCAATCTCTGACCAAAATAAACTTCAGGAAGGTCAAGGAAAAGTTGGAGTTTTCAAAAGTACAAGCTCCCAAAACCAAGGTATGGGGGCACCGCGGATTGAACGCGGGACCTTCAGATCAACTATATGAAAGTCTTCAGTCTGCTGCTCTCCCAACTGAGCTATGCCCCCATCAAAGCAGAACACACTTGTAAGTGTGAGAAGTGTAATTTTGCATGACAAACAAAGGAAATCAAAATAACATATTTTCAGCTATTCATAATCGGGTTCCCAACAAGGATGTTTGTTCCTGAAAAGACAATTTTTATTGGAAACAGAATTTTGATTCAATGCTTGCATGAAGAGGCATCTTGAATTTAAATATGGAAGGCCCATACGGAAAATTATCACGTGCAATGCGTCAGAGACCAGAACACCAGATTAACGTGCAGAAATTGCTACCACAAGGAATGGTAAGATCATATATATTCAACTTTGCTCTTTTGGACACCAGAAACATTTCAATGTGTATGATGCATCTATTTCAGCACAATAAGCTCTAGACGTATCGGGGTAAGCGAATATTACTCAATTCATCCATAGCTGACTTGGCAAAGGGAAATATTTGACAGAATATTGGATATTGCAGTAATACTTACATTATAGGTCTGATATCAGAAATTTTTGTGTTAAATAACATGCAATAAATACATGAATAACATGCAATAAATACATGGAATAGAGACAATCAAAGTACACAACATGAGGATGCTACTTGATGAGTGTGTTGCCAGATCTCGGGTTCATTGGATGCCAGACTTGCTAAGTCTTGTGCCACAACTATGTTACACCATTTGAGGTGTTTGACCTCAATCTTAGTATCTAACTAGCTGTGGCCTCAAACTGCAGTCAAATAACTTTTATTTCTGACTGCATTGACTCACTGGGTGCAGGGAACAACATTTTTGACAAAATAATATAAAAATTCCTGCTACTCTGTGATGAGTTCTTGTCTACTATATCCAAAAGAAAACTGTTCAAGGTCAACTCAGTTGGAAAGTCATGTTTTTTGGTCTGTTCCATCCAGTTGGACCATTCTTTGTTCACTGCTTATGTTCATGTGTCTGGTTTCAGTTTCAGTTGTTTTAGTCCTACCACTCCTTTTACTCCTCAACCCCCTCCCTCTGCAATTCCTCTTACTGCTCTGCTGTCTGTCCCTTATTCCTCTAGATGTGTGCCTTGCTCCAGATCAGTGTGATATGACTCTTTGTCTTCTGCTGGAGCAGCCCACCAATTCTGGTCAATGATGAGGAGGAGTACAAGGTGGAGGAAATTTTGGATAGCAGGGTATTCCAGGGGAAGTTACAGTTTAAGGTTAAATGAAAGGGATATGACATTGAGGACATCTTTTGGGAACTGCAGGCCAATGTATGAGTACCAGCCCTGATTTGGAACTTCTATTGCAGGCACTCCAATGCACCAAAGGCAATTTGAGGCATTTACCCCATCTCAGCAGCCAACCAGGCAATCTGTAACTTTTTCTACCCAGTAGATTGAGATGCCATATGCTAGAAAGGGAATGATGCCAGGGTACATCCCATTCTCCCTTCATCCCATTCTTCCTTCTGATGGTTTCCCTTTATTCTCCTTCTCCTTTCCTATCTAATAATTCAGACAAGTGTTGCCCCTTCCACACTGCCTCTTACCAGACCCTCTGATTGTTTCCTTGATTCCAAGCCTGCTGTTCATTGTCAACCTCCCATTATCTGGCCACAAGTACTTTTGACCAAAGCCTATCTTTTGGTTATATTTGTATGTAGCCATGTGCTTGGAGTCAGGAGATCAAGGCCATTTACAATGGATTTTTATTTTGGGATTAGACTCCAGATTTGGTTATGGTTGAGTGTTTGTTTCAGAAGCTCTAGAATAAATTTGCCAAACACTCAACAGAATGCAAGGTCATCCTGCAATGTTTCTTGCAGATATACCCTTAGGAGCATATCTGGAACCATCAAACTTGGTTCCAAGAAGTATAGAAATCTTGGACTGCACTAATCACTTTAGATTTTTCAGTGCTGGCTGATCCATTCAGAAACATTTTAAGAGGCACCTTTAAATCAGAATTTGACCCCAATGACTGCTTGATAATGATTCTCAATGCCATTCCTGTTTTCTATTCAGTGTCTATTAAGCAACAATGGCATCAACATCAATGCCAGTATCAGAAATCTCCATGGATAGTATATCACATGCCATAGCTGTGCCATGTTGATGCTCTTCTTTGTTTACAATGCACTGAAGCTATGAAACAGACACAAATAGAACATCAACTCTATTGGAAGGTGTATCTGTCAAGGACCATAAACAGTCTTTTCATTGTCACATTGTCTTTCATAGTCAGATTGCCATATCTATTCCATACCTTTTGTTCTATCAACCTGTTCCATCAACCTTCAATATTTCCTCATCTGAGCTATGCATGTATTCTCCCATTGGAGCAATAGGTAACCCTTGTGCACTTGACAACAAGCCTATGTTCTTGGCACTAATCATGGTGCAAAGTACATCATCTTGCATCCTGTCATACCAAGTCAACTGACACTGGTCAATGCTATCCAAATGGCCCTAATATTATCATCATCTGATTCCATCCCAAGATCATCTTCCAGTTTGGCACAATTATCCATGAACTCTGCAGGAACATGAAACATCCTCTTCCTTGCCCTTTGATTGACCCTGTGCAGGGACTTCAAAATGTAATTAGTAATGTGATACAAGACTGCTTTAGCTCCTGCCCTTGAATCAATGAACTTGTGATCCATATTGTTTTGCATTATTTGGAGAATAGTGCTGTTGAAATTGTTCATAAGTATGTCAAGACACTGTAGAGTAATTTCTTTGGTTTCATCATCAAATGTTGTTATTAGCATAAAATTATCTTTATCCAAACCAAATCAACAATCACAATCACCAGTATTTTCACAATATTTCCAAATGATGTTTATGAATCTGGCATGACTTCACAATGTTGTGTGAACCCATAGCTAAATTTTTCTCCATCACCATATCTTTCCTATTCAAGCCACAAATACAAGGAGAGTGAACACAGGATGGAATAATGTCAGGTGCCAGGTCAGGCACAGGTGGAACATACATTGTTATGCAATCAATCATCTACATAATGGATCAGTTTTTCTTCAAACTCTTTGTCTTTATCTTGCAAGATTGGTTTTTTGATTTCATTGGGATCTAATGTGTCTTTAAGTCCAAACAAGCATATGACAATGTAGTTGTCAATCATAACACACCACCCTCACAGTCAACTTGTTTTGGATCAAATCTCAAGAGATAATTGACAAAGGCTTGCATATAAAGATGGAAAAATTTTGCAGCTGTCATAGGATCTTGGGCTACAAGTAAACTTTGCTCAGCATATTATGGAATCTCAGCTGGTAGAATATTATCTACATCAATATCTGATCCCAATAAAAACTTGACAGAAAGATTTCTGGAAAGGACCAGTGCAATAAAACCTATAGAACATAGAAATATGAATGAGTCAAGATAATATATAGCCTTAATCAGAATATAAAAGTCAACAAGATCCTTGCTTATGATCCAAATAGTGTGTTTGCTGTCCTGCCTGTGAAGGATGGCCACACTACATTGCCTCAAATACTGACAAGAGCCTAGTGAGGACCAAAGCATGAATATAAAAGGTCAGATTGCCAATCAATAGAACAAGATTGCCATTAAAGAAACAAACAGAGTTAATTTCAGAGAGCATTGGGTCTGTGCACATAAGGAGATAATGTGCAGGAAGAGGAAAAAGAGACATGAGGATATGAGGAATAAGAAAGTTGGAAACATTTTTATGTCCACTAAAGAGCACATCAATGAGGGTAAATAGAACATTATCATGTGTAATGTCTGACAAGAAGCTCAACAGATGCATCAAAAAAGAACAAGGGGGTGGTGCCTTAGGGCAGTGGCCAAGAATAGGGTCATCTGGAGCTGGAAAAAGCTTGACAACATTGAGGACTGGATGCTGACATAGGTCTGCAGGGAGCTTGAGTTGCTATGCTAAAGGCCCCACCCTCCTTTCTACTGTGAAGGGCCCAAGGCAAGATATGACAGCTTCTGCAATGGCCTGGTTGTCTTTGTGTCAGAGCTGTCCAAGTACACACAGTCACTTGGCCTGTATACAGCAGCTAGTATCTGCTGGCAGTCATAGTACCATGCCATATCATCCTTTGCCTTCACCAATGCTGCCTTTGCCTCTTCCTACACCTTCTTCATCCTTTCTATAAATTTGTTTATGAAGTTGTTTTGTGAGGGATGTGCTCAAGGTTCAAATTCCATGTGAGGGTATCTGCCAGTGTCTGGGGAGAATAGAGTCATTGGAGTGGAAAAATGAACATGGTTGTTGTACTGAGACTCAGCATCTGGCAGAAGCTCATCCCAGTCATTCTGTCTCTAATCACAAAACAGGCAGAGATACTGTTCAAGTTCCTAGTTAACATGTTCCATCTGACAATCTGACTGAGGGTGATAGGCAGTGGTGGTGTGGAGCTTCACTCCAAGCAGATGGTACAGCTTCTGAGTAAACTCTGCCACAGACTGAGGGCCTTGAGAGACATACCCATCAGACAGACCATGGAGCATTCAAACATTCTTCCCTTCCAGGGCAGAGCAGGTGGTGTGGGTAGGGATAAAGTGGGCCTGTTTACCATAAAGGTCCACCACTACTATTACCACATCATACCCATAAACATCCAGGAGATCAACAATGAAGTCCACTAAGGCCACACTCCAGTGGGCAGCAGGGACAGGGAGAAAGTGGAGCTGACCTATGAGTGAATGCTTGGTGTGGAGACAGAGATCACAGCTGCTAGTGTAGATGCCTACATATATTGGGGGATGTCCATCTACATGAGAGTCATGGTGTTGCTCTACAATGCATCAACAGAGTTCAGGAATGTTAGGCATGTAGATGTGTCCTTGGAAGGTTAGAAGCCCATCTTGAAGACTCCACTCATCTGCATGCACTGACTTAATTCCACTGGCTTGTTGGGCTCATAGGGAGTGAGTTGCCTAGGCAACTACATCCTCTTGTGCACCCTCCTAATTTCCTTGTTGGATGTTCTTGAGGATGTTTGCCTTGTTTTCTTGGACAATGAATCCTTCTAAAG